TTTAACAGGTTTAATCCGTTTTATCTTGGGAGAAATTAATCCATAACCTTGGGTACAGTGAGGGTATTAAATTTCTTAAGGACACACAGTAATTTCTGTGGACTCGGATTAATTCTTGTATTTTAAATTTTTTCTGCTTCATCTTGTTTCTGTTTCTGTTCATTAACTTTATAAATACAAGTTATTGTAAGAATAACAAAGAATCTGTACACTAACATGAGTAGTTTATAATCTTATTATCTACTTTCTCCCCTCGGCATTATTTATCATAATTTCTATTTTTAAAGTTAAACTAATAAAAATTTTGATTAATACTTTAAGATGTATTTTTTTCATCATATTAATATAAGTACTTTTCATATAGTTTTAGAATATCTTTTTTTTTTTGTTTAAAATATCGAATTAATATGATCTAAAATTAGTCAAATTGGCTATTGAAAAGCGCAACATGACAAACAATACCAGACAGAGAGAGTATTATAATAGTTAAAGATGACATAATGGTGTAATTTATCTATCGAAAACAATCCTTTTACCTTTATAAGATAGAAACAAGGTTGTGTACACATCATGTTCCTCGGAATCTCATATTTTACTTGTTTCCTTTTTACCTTTATAAGGTAGAAACAAGATTGTGTACACGTCATGTTCCTCGGAATCTAAGATTTTACTTGTTTTCTTTTTACCTTTATAAGGTAGAAACAAGGTTGTGTACACATCTTGTTCCTCGGAATCTCAAATTTTACTTGTTTTCTTTTTACCTTTATAAGGTAGAAACAAGGTTGTGTACACATCATGTTCCTCGGAATCTCAGATTTTACTTGTTTTCTTTTTACCTTTATAAGGTAGAAATAAGGTTGTGTAAACATCATGTTCCTCGAAATCTCATATTTTACTTGTGCGATTATACTGAATATGTTGTTGTTATTGCTGATGTTATTATAATAATATTTTCTCATTTTTATAGGATTTAAATAGTAGCAATTGGTGGTTACAATATGGAGGATCCATCAACATAGGATATTGGCCATCAAAGATATTTGAAGGTGGACTAGGAGTCCATGCACAAACAGTTCAATGGGGTGGTGAAGTTTATAGTAAAAATGTAGGAAAACATCCTCACACAAAAACACAAATGGGAAGTGGAGCTTTTCCAGTTTACATATCTGAAAATACTGGATTTATGAAGAATATGAGAATTCTTGATAATTCAATGGAGTTGAGATTTCCACAATATATTGATGCTTATTCACAAGAATATGATTGTTATAAAACTCAATATATGGGTGATTATATTGAAGAACCTGAATTTCACTTTGGAGGTCCAGGAAGAAATCCATTGTGTCCTTGAAAATTGTATTATATTGTCAAATCTTGATTATAAATATAGTTTCACTAATTTGTAGGTTTTGTATTTAGTCAGTAAGATTATCTTAAACTACCAAGTGTGTTTGTTTTTGTTATATTTCAAACTTTTACTTAATGGTATGAATGATAATTAATATGTTTATTTAATGATTTCTATAAGGGTGACAATTTAATTTTAGTCTTTTGTAATATTTGACTAAACATCATTGTTAGATCACATGAATACTATGAAGAAAATGACTTTAAATTTATTTTTATGATAAATATCTTTTATACAATATTTGATATTCATTTTGAAGTTATGTGACTTTAAATGTTGATAATGTAATTGGAGCTAAATATCCATTATATTATATTTAATAGTATTTGTTTTGAGGTTCGATTATTAAAAAAAAAGAAATTGGTAATAGTAATTTGAGATAAGCTTTATGTCGGGATGAAAAAAGAATAGATTTTGAAGATCTTCAAAAGTTCAAATGGTTGAGATTTTGAGGATAACACAAGTAGTCAATTAAATATAGTCTTTTACCTAAAAATCAAAATTTTGTCAGCCTATCAATTTTTTACTTATTAAAAATGACACATTCTTGGTTTATTATTGGCCATATGGTATTAAAAAAATTGAAGGAACCTCAATCAATGTTCCAAACATTAATATTTAATTCGAAGGCGTGATATAGTAGATGAAGTTACTCGTTCTTTAATTACAAGATTTTCAAAGTTTTGAGTATAAAAAATTTGATAGAGTGCTTCCTTGATTAATATTGTTCTATTATTTGTGTATTGTAATTTAAATTAGTTAGATTTTGTGATAGATATCGAAAAAATTGAATAAGAAAGATGATATTTTTTTTTAAAAGAAATTGTTATAGAACTATTTGTTATGTTCTGTCTGTGAGTGTGTCTATTATGGGTCCATGGTCAAACTTTTTTGGTTCTCTCCCTTTGAGGCTTCAACACAAGCCTCTGGATCTTTACCCTTTTCAAGAATCCATAACCCCTTTTCCCATTTATAAGAATCATTTGTTGTTTTTTTCTCCTTCACTGTTGATTCCCTAAATTAGCTTTTTGTTCATCATTGTACTGTTGAGGAAGAGGCTTTCTTCTTGTGCAAAGCAAAGTTTGTGTCTTTTTGCTTTTGGGGTACTTCTGAAAGGGCTTGATTTGAGGTAAAGATTTGATTTTGATATATGGGTCAGTGGATTTTATTGTTTTCTCAAGTGAATTTGATTAGTTTTGAGGAGTTTATGGGGAGTTTGTGGTAAAAGATCAGATTTTTACATATAAACTTCCAATTTTTTTTGTGTGTTTTTGCTTGTGGAATCTGAATTTGCAACTCACTGGAGATAATGGGTTGAGTATGATATCTGGGGTTTTGAATTTGTGATTACTTGAGTGGTTGAAGGTTGTTCATGGGGGATTCTTGAATTAGTCAGTGTTAACTAGTACTTTGTTGTGTTTGTGGCTGTGGGAGGTAGCAGGTATCCCGTGAAATAGTTGAGGTGTGTGTGTAAGCTGGTCTATACACTAATGTCATTTTAAAAAGTGCTTTGATGTATCTGTTAAAAGACTAGAAGAGGGGTAAGTGGAGAAGGGTAGAGGGATACGTCTGTTATTCCCGAGTTTCGAATAGGAGAGGAGTAAGTGGAGAAGGGTAGAGGGGTGGAACCATTATTCGTGAGTTTTGGAGGCTAACTACTGAGGTAGAGGAAGATGAAAAGAGGTACAGGTGAAGAGAAAGTTATGGGGCCTATGTTTCCAAGGCTTAATGTTAATGATACAGAAAAAGGAGGTCCAAGAGCACCTCCAAGGAACAAGATGGCTCTTTATGAACAACTGAGTATCCCTTCCCAACGATACAACCCTGGTGATTTGCCTCATAACAGTAGTAACAGTGCAAATTTGGTCCTTCCTCACCCAAGCCAGGTAATCCAAGTTCAAATAATTGTATTTTACTTCATAGTAGATATATTCTAAAAGTTGCCTATGGATTTAACTCAGCCTTTTGCTTGAATTTCCATATTTTCTTTTGTTTTAGTAACTGCCATATCGGGGCTAGCTTGTGCTTGCCTCAGCTAATTCCATAAGGTTCCTACTACATCCCACTAACACAACTACCTAGTGTCTCTGTCCACTACCTTGGAATAATGGGGGAAAGTTCACCTAGTGATTTTGTCTCCGTTGGATTTGGCCATTTGAGTATGGCTTCTTACATTGGAATTTTTCTTTGTTACCAAGAATTATAACTACTTCCCAAATTCTTTACTTATAAGCTCCAGGAGGATAATATTCAGCTATGTCAATGTGTTCCCTTTTCTTGTAGGCCTTTTTATCTAGCTTGATGCATAATCCACATTGAATATGTCATTTCCACGTCCTCCCTTTCTTGCTCCTTGTGGTACTCCCTGTGGCTGGTTTCAAGTTTTCTTGATGTTGACCCCACTTGTGTGAATATACTGGGTATGTCAATGTTCTTGTTGTGGATAGTAAGTTTTGCAGTTTTTGAGTTTGTTATATCTGAGTTCAGAAAATTGTGTAGGAGAATGAACACGAAAGAGGTGTATTATTCTCTAGACAACTTCCTGCATTAAGACATCCAGTTGAAAAGCCATATGGACGTAGTTCTGGTTCAAATACTCCATTGCGGGAAGTTAAGTCTAAAAGGCAGACAGAAAAGGAAGATTTTAGAGTTCCCACTTTTGATAACTCCAAGGAGCGTGCAGTAAACACAGAGGACTATTCTAAAGGTACCTCAGATATAGATAAGCGAGACAGTACTTTGAAGCGGACTGATCAACTCTCCCATGTCACACCGAGAGAGAATCTTGTTAATACCTTTGGTGAATCACATAAGACCAATATAGTACAGTTGGAATTCAGATCTGATTGTCAAGTTGATTGCACTGTCTTTTCCGGATCTGTCATAGATGTCGATAATGGTAATCTTCTTTCCATTTGAATGACTTATCATCAAAAGAGCGGGTAAAATTAATAACCTAATTAATGATACAGACTCCCAGGAAGACAAGACCTGTAAATCATCACAAACAGGAGAAATGGCCCACAGTGATGAACTATCAGAGACTTCCATGGTCGAGTATGTATCTGAAATGGACATATCTCCTGATAATGTTGTTAGAATGATTGGACAAAAACATTTCTGGAAAGCAAGACGAGCTATTGCCAAGTAAGTCTGGTTTCTTGGTGGTAGCTTTGATTGATTGTTTGAGCTTGACATCTTCATTTTCTTATCACATTGTGCAAAGATGATCCCTATCATTCTCTTTGGCTGATGGTATCCATGTATGTTTTAAGTTGGCTTTATTTTGAACCCAACTTTTCTTGCAGATACTTTAAAGTGCATCAGATCATGACTTGTCGCTTTTGTGTCTCCTCATGGTTTTGTTTTTATTAAAATCAAGGATATGCTCCTCTAATATTTCTGCAGCCAATTAGCACCAGCGTGTGCTTGTTAGTTTAAAAAGTTACCTTTTTTTTCTCAATACATGTGTATAAGTATAACCATTCATAACCTACAATTGTACTTAAAAATTATTTCAATGAGACCTATGATGATTTGTGGTCTAGTCAGTTCTACACGAAATTACATCTCAACTGCACTTTCTTGTATGCCAAAAACTTTGTTAAACAATGTGCCTTGAAGATCCTTTCATTATGTGGCTTAGTCTTTACCATATGAAGCATGTTGAATGACCACTTACTTGGATGATTGTCAAAATCATTTGTGAACTTTGCCATTTGAATACAAAAAGAAACAACTTGTAATAACATGGTAACTAGCATTCTATAGTGTACTCCATCTTCCCTCTAGCGCTGATAGGCTTTGTAGGTCAGTTCGATCTAACAATTTTGTATTGCTAACCCTGCTTTCTGTTGCTTAGGTTAATTTTTGTGAGTTTTAGCAATCTAGAGTTGACTTGTTATTGCTGTTCAATGTGATTGTGATAGCTTTCAGTTTTTCTTAAGCACCAAGGACAATGACTCTTTAGAGTGGTATGGTACTTATATATAATTCTTCTTAAAATGGTAGTAGTCTTGGTATTCTAGGAGTATATGGTCCTGTACTGAGTTAAGGTAGTGTGATGCCTTTCATGTGTTGTGATTCTTTGTTCCTGTTCATGCAATTATCAACTGACGAATTCTTCTAGACAAATTATGTGTGAATAGTAGGATTTGAGGTATGGCATAAAGCAGGTTGGACCTCTTAGTGCAGCCTGATGGTTCTCACAGTTTGGATCATGCGTGTAGCGTCCGTTAATTCAGAACTTATTCAGACTCACTTATGCATTGTGGAAACCATTAAGACATGTATTATAGTTTCATGGTGAGCTGTCACCACTGGATTAGTTTGACTCGTCGTTGACTGATCTCTTGGGCCTTTTTTTTTGCTGGTTTCCTGGGTTGTAGACAATTGTTGGATGAGTTTAGAGTGTAGAATGCAAATCTCATTTCCCTGACCTCAAACTCATATTTAGTATGTACCCGGGAAATTCATGCAACAAAGAAACTAACTGTCTTTAAGCATATAAACAGCTACAACTCATTCAAGCTATTTGTCTCAGCTTTATGAATTCTCAATGTCCATTCCGTTGCATCTTAATCCGTTTGATTTCCAATATTCAATATTACAGGTTCTTAGAAAGAAAAATGAAGAACGAGACTGGCCCCTACTTTTCCTCCACATTTCAGTTATAAGGGAGACTCAGTTACTCACCAGTCATTTAACTATTGGTTGCGTATTTGCCCGTAGAGACACTTTTCTTCAAGCATCATGACGGAACTCTGACCGGTTTTTGCATGAGCGTACATAATCATTTACCCATCTCATGTGATCATTTCTTGAGTTCTTGTTGTTATCTGTAGGTCAACTTGGTGGTTCTCTTTCTTCTAGCTGATTTTCAACTATATATTAGTCTTTTATTACTTATATTCTGTATTAATATTTCAGATGTATAAAGTTTAACAGCTAATCTTTTTTTTATATGCCATGTGTTATCTTGATTCCGTCCCTATTTTTCTGGTACAGCCAGCAGAGAACGCTTGCACTTCAAGTATTTGAGTTGCATCGACTACTCAAGGTAAGATAGCTGTAGAGGCTGAATCGCATCTTGTATCAGCACTGAGATTAACAT